AGTGTAGTTGTATATATATATATAGATGCAGACGCATGTGTATATGTAGATGCAGCTGTAGGTGTAGATGTGGATGTAGGTATATATGTATATGTATGTATTAAGCTGTGCTATTGTTATTATTACTACTACTACTACTACTACTACTACTACTACTACTACTACTACTACTACTACTACTTCTACTACTACTACTACTACTACTACTACTACTACTACTACTACTACTACTACTACTACTTCTACTACTACTACTACTACTACTACTACTACTACTGCTACTACTACTACTACTACTACTACTACTACTACTACTACTACCGCTACTGCTACAACTGCGACGATGAGGAGAAGGATGAGGACGGCGTTTACCGTTACTACTAATATTGCTCTCCTCGGGGCTCCAACTCCTAGGTAGGGTCGCTCTGGGATAATTCCCATCTGTTTCCGTTTACTTTTGTTTTTCGTTGTGAACGCGTTTCAAAACACGTTTTCACATGCTCTGAACGCCAGCCGTCGCGCCCATGCGTTTTGGCCACCGGGCTGCCGTTTTGTTGGGCGTTCTGTTCTGGCACAGGCGCGTGCCGCACGTTTTGTTGGGCGTTATGTTTTCTCGTGGGCAGGCGCCGCTTGTTTTGTTGGCGTTTCGTTTTGTTGGGGGGTCACCCCCCCAGCACCACCACCCTGCACAATCCCGAAGCACCAGCCCCCCTCAGCACACCCCCCCAGCACAACCCCCCAGCACAACCCCCTGGCACAGCCCTGAAAACACCCCAGCACGGCCCGCCAGTACAACCCTCCCCAGCATAACCCCCCAGTACAACCCTCCCCAGCACAACCCCCCAGCACAACCTCCAGCACAACCTCCAGCACAACCTCCAGCACAACCTCCAGCACAACCTCCAGCACAACCTCCAGCACAACCTCCAACGCAACCTCCAGCACAACCTCCCGCACAACCTCCAGCTCAACCTCCAGCACAACCTCCAGCACAACCTCCCGCACAACCACCAGCACAACCTCCAGCACAACCTCCCGCACAACCTCCAGCACAACCTCCAGCACAACCTCCAGCACAACCTCCAGCACAACCTCCAGCACAACCTCCAGCACAACCTCCAGCACAACCTCCAGCACAACCTCCAGCACAACCTCCAGCACAACCTCCAGCACCTCCAGCACAACCTCCAGCACAACAGCACAACCTCCAGCACAACCTCCAGCACAACCTCCAGCAACCTCCAGCACAACCTCCAGCAACCTCCAGCACAACAGCACAACCTCCAGCACAACCTCCAGCACAACCTCTCCAACCTCCAGCCTCCAGCACAACTCCAGCACAGCACGCACAACCTCCAGCACAACCTCCAGCACAACCTCCTGCACAACCTCCGCACAACCTCCAGCACAACCTCCAGCAACCTCCACACAACCTCCAGCACAACCTCCAGCACAACCTCCAGCACAACCTCCAGCACAACCTCCAGCACAACCTCCAGCACAACCTCCAGCACAACCTCCAGCACAACCTCCAGCACAACACAACCTCCAGCACAACCTCCAGCACAACCTCCAGCACTACCTCCAGCACAACCTCCAGCACAACCTCCAGCACAACCTCCAGCACACCTCCAGCACAAGCACAACCTCCAGCACAACCTCCAGCACAACCTCCAGCACAACCTGCACAACCTCCTGCACAACCTCCAGCACAACCACAACCTCCAGCACAACATCCAGCACAATCTCCAGCACAACCTCCAGCACAACCTCCTGCACAACCTCCCGCACAACTGCCAGCACAACCTCCAGCACAACCTCCAGCACAGCCTTCAGCACAACCTCCAGCACAACCTCCAGCACAACCTCAGCACAACTTCCAGCACAACCTGCAGCACGACCTCCAGCACAATCTCCAGCACAACCTCCAGCACTACCTCCAACACAACCTCCAGACTGTAAGTTGGCCCTTTCTAGGGGTTGTGCTGGCAGGTTGTGTCGGGGGGTTGTGCTGGGGGGATGTGCTGGGTGTGTGTGCCGGGGGTTGTGCTGGTGGGTTGTGCGGGGGTTGTGCTGGGGGTTGTGCCAGGGGGTTGTGCTTGGAGTTGTGCAGGAGGGTTGTGCTGGGGGGTTGTGCTGGAGGTTGTGCTGGGGGGTTGTGCTGGGAGGTTGTGCTGGGGGGCTGTTCTGGGGGGGGTTGTGCCAGGGGGTTGTGCCAGGGGGTTGTGCTGGGAGGTTGTGCTTGGGGGTCGTGCTTGGAGGGGGGGGGGGTTGTGCTGGGGGGTTGTGCTGGGGGGGTTGTGCTGAGGAGTTGTGCTGGGGGGGGGTTGTGCTTGGGGTTTGTGCTGGGTGATTGCGCTGGAGGTTTGTGTTGGGGGTAGTGCTGGGGGTGTGTGCTGGGGGATTTTGCGGAGGGGGGTTGTGCGGAGGGGGGTTGTACTGGGGGTCGTGCTGTGCGAGTGTGTGCTGGGGGGTTGTGCTGGGATCTCCACCTAAATCGTCACTCGCTCCCTCGCGGATTAAATCTGTATCTAGATCTCCGCCTAAATCGTTATTCGCGCTCTCGCTGCTTAAACCATCACTTGGCTCGTCGTCGTCGTCGTTGTTCCTTGGCGCTCGCTCGTTTAGTTTTTTCCGTTTTGTTGGTGGCCCGCGGCCGTGCCACCGTTCTGTTATGCGTTTCGTTGTCGGCTGCTCGGGGGCCGCTGTTTTGTTCACCCGCTGTTTTGTTCCAGAACGGCCCGCGCGACGCCGGCCGGCGTTTTCGTTCAAATTTCGCTTTTATGCGAAAACGAAACGTGAACAGAAAACACTGTTCAGGTGGAGCCCTGCCCTGAGTGGCTCATCCACTCACACACAATTACTAGCTCATCACTCACCATCATCACTATCACCATACAGCCGTCACCATCATCATTATCGCACAATCACTCAGCGGAAACCCCGTCTGTGAGTGAACACCATTATTACCACCCATCACCGTCGTCCCTAATCAGCAATCACCCGCCATCATCGTCACCATCACCATCGTCACCATCACCCATCACCATCGTCCTTACCATCGGAGGAAGTCTCAGGCGGGAGCCTCGTCTGTGAGTGAATTGCGAGGAAGTCTCAGGAGGGAGACTCCTCGCTATGGGGCCCGCACATCGTGTTCGAATCCGAGGCGGGTCATCGGCCTCCTGTAGCTGTCGGCACTTTTGGGCTCCTGAGGCCTGAGTACGGAGGAAGTATGAGGCGGGAGCATCGTCTGTGAATACTTGCGAGGAGGTCTCAGACGGGAGCCCCCTCGCTATGGGGCCCGCACTTCATGTTCGAATCCGAGGCGGGTCATCGGCCTCCTGTAACCGTCGTCATGTTTGGGTTACTGAAGCTGGAATATTGAGGACGTATGAGGCGGGAGCCTCGTCTGTGAGTGAATTGCGAGGAAGTCTCAGGAGGGAGACTCCTCCCTATGGAGTCCGCGCTTCATGTTCGAATCGGAGGCGGGTCATCGGCCTCCTGTAATTGTCGTCACTTTTGGGCTACCCAGGCCTGAATGTAGAGGACGTATGAGGCGGGAGCCTCGTGTGTGAGTGAAGCGCGAGGAAGTCTCAGACAGGAGCCCCCTCGCTATGGGGCCCGAGGCGGGTCATCGGTCTCCTGTAGCTGTCGTCACTTTTGGGCTCCTGAGGCCTGAGTATTGAGGAACTATGAGGCGGGAGCTTCGTTTGTGAATAATGGGGCCCGCACTTCATGTTCGAATCCGAGGTGGGTCATCGGCCTCCTGTAACCGTCGTCATGTTTGAACTCCTGAAGCTTGAATATGGAGGAAGTATGAGGCGGGAGCCTAGTCTGTGAATAATTGCGAGGAAGTCTCAGGTGGGGGGCCTTTCCCTTTTGGGTCCGCAATTCATATTCGAATCCGAGGAGGGTCATCGGCCTCCTGTAAACGTCGTCCCTTTGTGGCTTCTGAGGCCTGAATATGGAGTAGGTTAAGGCGGGAGCTTCGTCTGTCAGTGATGAAAAGCGAGGAAGTGTTAGGCCTGAGCACTCACGGGGCACCCCTCCGTGCGGGGCGTTAGTAATCCAAGTGCTCCATGCCGAGCTGGTCGTCGGCAAACATCCCGCGGTTTCGCAGTAGTGCGGGACACAAGGGCGACTGAGGGGCGCAGGGCCGAAACACGCAGCGAATCGCCGCGGCCGAAAGGCTCTGGCGGCGAGCGGACCGCAAGGTTCACGCGGGGCCGATAGGCTCTGCGATTCGCCGCCGGGGCCGAAAGACTTTGGCGGCGAGCTGACCGCAAGGTTCACGCGGGGCCGAAAAGCTTTGTGACTCGTCGCCGGGCCGGAAGGTTGTGGTGGCGAGCGGACCGCAAGCTTCAAGCATGGCCGAAAAGCTCTACGACTCGCCGCTGGGGGCCCTGTTTGTGCTCCGTGTATGCAGGGTGCACTGCATAAGAAAAAGGCGAGGCACAAGCTACATAGGGTCTCGTGCGGGGTCCTACAGTCGGAGTGATTTTCAATACGGCTGATTCCTTACATATCGGTTGCGGGGGCCCGTCGCTGTCGGGCCCCAGGACCATCAAAATCGGTCTGGGACGAAAGATTGGCCCTGGGGAAGGGGGGGAGGGTGTTCTGGGCTCGGTGGAGCAATACAGCATGATCAAGATACGGTTTAAGGTTTCCAGGTTTGTCCTGTTCCGCGCGGGCTCCAGAGACGAGGGCCGCCGGGCATCTCTTTGAGATCTTGGAACGCATCTTGGGCCAATCGCATCAGGAAACCATTCTCTTCCTATCGTACCTCGGATCCTTCCCTCCGTTTTCGCCCCTGTTCCTCTTCCCGAGTCGCGCCAACAATCTGTGCCGCCCCGTCCACGATAGGTGCGAGTACGCATAGTCCGCGCAACTCTGAATGATTTGCGCACTTTGGCGATGCATCCTTGAGGTGGCAGGTGCTTGGGGGGGGGGGGGGACTCCTTTCGTCGTCGTCCTCGCCGTTGTCGCGGCGGCAAGGGGAGGTCGCCGCTGGGGGCCGCCGACACTTCCTGGCAGCGCCGCCGACAGAGCTCCGGCGCGCCGATCGCCGCGGAGGCCCTGGGGGCGTCCGCGCTGCGGAGGCTGCAGGATGGGCGGCCGCAGCTCCGAGGTCCATCCATCACCAACGCCCGGGGGAGGGGAGGGGGGGCGATCTCCGGGGGCCCGAGCCAGCTTTGGATATGGAAATGTTCGGCTACTCGAAGAGGAGGAAGAAGAGTAATAAAAATATAAGGAAATAATAAGAGGAGGAGGAGGAGGAGGAGGAGGAGGAGGAAGACGGAGATGCGGCCGGAGCTCCGAGATCCATCTTGACGCCGTCTGGGGGTTTAGGTGGCAAGCACTGAATCCAGCCTGCAGGAAGAGCGGGCCGGTTCGAGGTATTGGATTTGAGAAAGCCTTTTGGTTTTGTTCGGTCTCTGGGGGCCGTTCTCGAGCCCAGGGACCACGAGAATGCACCCAGGAGGAACACTGCCCCAGGTGAGCCGACTTTGACTGGATTTGGCACACGTGGCGGCGCCCCCGGCGCCACCCCGGGCGCGCTCCGCGGGTCATGCAAGGGGGGTCCAGCGCCGATCCCAGAAATCCGCGCGGACCTCCGAAGTTCATGTTTGCGCGATGTTCTCCAAACTGGTTTTGCTGAGTTGCGGATTCCAAGCCTGCTTGATTCTTCTGCTTCCTTGATTTGAGTCGTCTAATCAAACGCTTGATTCCTCTGATTCCTCTGATGTTTGATGCGTGATTCCTCTGATTCCTCTGATTATTGATTTGATTACTCTGATGCCTGACTCCTCTGATTCCTTGATTTGATTTGGTCTGAGTCCTTTGGAGCCAACGCTGGCTGATGTCTCCCCCTCTGGGCATATCTGAGGAGCTTCGCCCTTTGCCGCGGGCCCTCCCTGAGATCGCTTGCCTGGCCAGGCTGGGTTGGCAGGCTGGTTGTCAGGAGGCAAATAATACACAGACGCAATGAATCGTCGATTCCCCATGAAGTGTGGGAAAATATGGGCAATGTGGGGGAAGGCAGAAACCCAGAAAATATTTGAAAGTATAAGAATCATTTTATTTGTGTGTATTGACTTGTGTGTCCCAGGGCCCCTTCAGATTGGCTGGCTGGCAACTCGGCTGATTGGACTGTTGTCTAGTCGTAAGTCGGGCCTGTCCCTCTACAGGAGGGAAATTGAAAAATTGTCAAAAGATAATATGGGGACGATGTGTTGCATCGGTTTGCGAATCTTTGGCGCATTTTGGGAATGCTTTTAATTTTTCGCCCAGAATCCTTCTGTAGGGGGACAAACACCTCTGGCCATTCACGAGGGTGCCAGCTGTCGTCCGTCTGTTTCCCCTGTCTTTTCCATGATTTGGGCTGTGGACGAGCCCTGACGACCGAGCTCGGTCGTCCACGTCACTTACAGTCAGGCTCACTCCACCTTCTCAGACGGCCCACAAGGCCCCGAAGGTTAAGTCGGGCCCGTCTCTCTACAGGAGGAATCTACATATATAATCATTATTATTAGTATTATTAGTAGTAGTATTCTTCTTATTATTATCATTAGTATTATTATGAGTATTATTATTATTAGTATTAGTAGTAGTAGTAGTAGTAGTAGTAGTAGTAGTAGTAGTAGTAGTAGTAGTAGTAGTGTTATGAATGTTATTCATATTATTTTTTTTTAATAATATTATTTTTATTGTCATTATTATTAGTATTATTATTACCATTATTATTATTATTGGTATCATTATTATTATCATTATCATTATGTTATATTATTTTTTATTATTATTATTGTTATTATTACTATATATTATATATATTCTATATCATATATTATATATAATATTATATCGGAGTGTTGGGCCCCCTGGCCGCGCCCGGGACACGATGACAAATGGGGCCACCCCTTGGGTTACCCAATTTGGCCCCCGGGGCCGGGGGCCTGTTTTCGGTCCTTTGCGGGGCGGTTCCACCCCTGGGAGCGTTCCAAGGGCATCCACGATCGCCTCCAGACGGCCTAAGAGGCTTCCAAGACGACCCCATAGCGCCCCAAGAGCGCTCGAAGACCGCTTAAGGTGGCCTCAAGACAGCCCAAGAGGCTCCCAAGAGGACCCCCACGAAGCAAAAATCGTCCCATTCCCTTTTTGGCAAACGTACAATTTTAGCATCATCGCTTGTTTGGTTTCGAGAGCGTCCAAGGTGGCCCACGAAGCCCCCAAGGTCGCTCCAAGACGGCCCAGCTCTTGGGCCCCAAGACGGCCCGAGAGAGCCCAATGACGGCCCAAGAGCGGCCTCAAAGAGGCCCACAATGCTCCCAAGAGAGCCCCGAGAGAGCCGCAAGAGGGCCACCACAGAGCCTTAGGAGCGCCCCAAGACGGCACCAGCCTCCCAAGACTGCCCAAGAGCGCTCCAGGACGGCCATCGAGGGCCCCGAATGAGCCCCAAGAGGCCCCAAGACGGCCGCCAAGAAGGCCAAGTGATGCCTGTTTGTATGATTTTCTGTGGTTTGGGCGTTCTCGCCTCTCCGGTCTCTCAGCAGCTCACGACGGCCTCAGAGGCATCCCCCCGATCGCCCCAAGATCCCCAAGACAGCCCAGGAGGCGCCCAAGACGACCAATGAGCGCCCGACGAATCGCCCCTGCATTCCTCAGTGGCACATAGGCAATTTGCGATGCGCGTTCCTTGTGCACGGCTAGAACCTAAGCGCGCGCGAGGCGCGCGCGTGGTTCTAGTATTCAAAAAGAGTTAAGCAATGGTCTGGGGATTATCTTTCCCCAAACAGCTTGCTGAACGGGGTGCTGTTGTGATAGAAGCTAACTCCGGCCGAGGGAAGCCGAAGCAGAGACATCCTCACACAAATTTTATGGTCCGGGCCGTTTCGCTTGAGACATCCTCACAACTCTCGTTTCTGAGTTGGCCGGGATTGGCCGTGTCGCATGAGACATCCTCGAAAAGTTGCGCTCCAGGTCGCCGCGCGAGAGGTGGTCCGGGCCGTTTCGCTTGAGACATCCTCGAAACTCTGAGGCCCGAGGTGCCGTGCGAGAGGTGGTCCGGGCCGTTTCGCCTGAGACATCCTCGAAACTCTGAGCTCTGAGATGCCTTGCGCGAGGTGGTCCGGCCCGTTTCGCCTGAGACATCCTCGAAGCTCTGACCTCGGAGATGCCGCGCGAGAGGTGGTCCGGCCCGTTTCGCCTGAGACATCCTCCAACTTCTGAGCTCTGAGATGCCCTGCGCGAGGTGGTCCGGCCCGTCTCGCCTGAGACACCCTCGCAACTCTGAGCTCTGAGATGCCGTGCGCAAGGTGGTCCGGCCTGTTTCGCACAAGACATTCTCGCAACTCTGAGCTCTGAGATGCCGCGCAAGAGGTGGTCCAGCCTGGGGGCCCAGAAGACCACATGTTACATATGCTCCCAGGGACCCTGGGAGCCCGCCTGAGACATCCTCGAACTTCTGAGCTCTGAGATGCCCTGCGCGAGGTGGTCCGGCCCGTCTTGCCTGAGACATCCTCGCAACTCTGAGCTCTGAGATGCCGTGCGCAAGGTGGTCCGGCCTGTTTCGCACAAGACATTTTCGCACCTCAGAGCTCCCAGATGCCGCGCAAGAGGTGGTCCAGCCTGGGGGCCCAGAAAACCACATGTTACATATCCTCCCTGGGACCCTGGGAGCCCCATGAGGCCCCAGAGAGCTTCAGGAGGCCGCAGGACGCCCAGGACAGGCCCCAGGGGTCCCCAGGAGATTCCCAGGAGGCTCCCAGGAGGCCCCAGGAGGCAACCTATCAGAACGTGTCAAGTTAATACACATCTGGTGTCGATTCGTTGATTTTTCTTGCTCTTGTGCCCCCCCCATTTTAAGGGGCCCAAGCGGCCACAGGTTAGACATCCCCCCCTGGGAGCCCCAAGAGGTTTCAGGAAACCCTAGGTGGAGTTCAGGCCACAGGAGGCCCAGGAGGAAGCCCCAGGAGGTCCCCAGGAGGCCCCAGGAGGCACCAGGAGGCCCCCGCAACTCGGAGCTCTGAGACGCCGCGCTCGAGGTGGTCCGGCCCGTTTCTCCTGAGACTTCCTCGCAGCACGTTTCGCCCGAGACACCGGCCCGTCTCGCCTGAGACATCCTTGCAACTCTGAGCTCTGAGATGCCGTGCGCAAGTTGGTCCGGCCCGTTTCGCACAAGACATTCTCGCAACTCTGAGTTCCCAGATGCCGTGCAAGAGGTGGTCCAGCCGGGGGTCCCAAAAGACCACATGTTACATATCCCCCCTGGGAGCCCCAGGAGGCCCCAGAGAGCTTCAGGAAGCCGCAGGACGCCCAGGACAGGCCCCAGGGGTCCGCAGGAGATTCCCAGGAGGCTCCCAGGAGGCCCCAGGAGACCCCTAATTATCAGAACGTGTCAAGTTAATACACATCCGGTGTCGATTCGTTGATTTTTCCTACGCTTGTGGCCCCCCCCCCCACATTTCAGGGAGGCCCCGACGGCCACATGTTAGATACCCCCCTGGGAGCCCCAAGAGGCTTCAGGAAGCCCGAGGTGGGGTCCAGGAGGCCACAGGAGGCCCAGGAGGAAGCCCCAGGAGGTCACCAGGAGGCCCCAGGAGGCCCCAGGAGGCCCACGCAACTCGGAGCTCTGAGACGCCACGCTCGAGGTGGTCCGGCCCGTTTCGCCTGAGACTTCCTCGCAGCACGTTTCGCCCGAGACATCGTCGCAACTCTGGGTTCCGAGATGCCGCGCGCGAGGTGGTCCAGCCCGTTACGCTGGAGACATCCTCGCAATTCCGAGATGCCCTGCGCGAGGTGGTCCGGCCCATCTCGCCTGAGACATCCTCGCAATTCTGAGCTCTGAGATGCCGTGCGCAAGGTGGTCCGGCCCGTTTCGCACAAGACATTGTCGCAACTCTGAGCTCTCAGATGCTGCGCAAGAGGTGGTCCAGCCTGGGGGCCCAGAAGACCACATGTTACATATCCCCCTTGGGACCTTGGGAGCCCCAGGAGGCCCCAGAGAGCTTCAGGAGGCCGCAGGACGCCCAGGACAGGCCCCAGGGGTCCGCAGGAGATTCCGAGGAGGCTCCCAGGAGGCCCCAGGAGGCACCCTATCAGAACGTGTCAA